CTGAGTCACAACATGGGGCTTGAACCCACAACTTTCTGACTCAGAGACAAACGTTGCACCAACAGAGTCAGGCAGACACACATAGGCACAAGTGGTAGCTTCTATGCAGGGGAACACACCTGTGTTAGCTGAGCTAAGACTGGGGTAACACAGACTGGCAGAAGAGTAGGGTACAAGCAGACAGAGACCTCAGACATTGAACTGTCTCTCCACTGTCCAGGGAGAATTATTATGGAGCATATAAACTAATGGGCAATTTATGGCCAGATTCCAGGAAGTTTTTCTTTACCCAGAGTGTAATTAATGATTGGTCACCATCGCTTTCACCATCGAACCTTCACTCATTACGCCCCCAAACTCTGCAACTCCCTGACTGTATCGCTGCTCCTCACCCACTCTCTATGAATCCCACCTTAAAACCTACCTTTTCAACCGGGCCTATGGTCACCTTCCCCACCTCTTTCTTCCTTGCTCGCTATCCAACCATTCTGAAGCACTCCAAAAACTTATCGTACATGAAGAGCACTACATAAATGCAAGTTGTTGTTTTCCGTGCCGAGTAACCTGATCTCAATCTAGGCTGAACTTGGGACACTACAAGCGAGGGAGTTAAGGGAGGAATAAATCAGCCGGGGTTCCTAATCCCGATCCACATCCAGCAACCATCCCATGGAAAGTGCGGGCAGTGAGGTATTGGGGGGGGTAGGGGTGGGGTGGGGGTGGGGTGCTGGTGCGGGGGAAGGAGACTCCAGGAAAACAGAGAAAAGAAGTCAAACGGCTTCAGGAGAGGAGGGTGTGAAAAAATTGATGGGAGACAGTATTTCACTTCTACTACCCCCACAGTATGTTGTAAATTGTTAAATTAATTCACAAAATATCATGTCCACATATAGTGATTAATTGATCAGAATTAATTACAGTAATTTAGATGTTCGAGTAAAATCAATTAGGTGTTATCTTTGTTTTAATTAAAATGGGGATTTATGAAGTGCCGAGGACATTGTGGGTGGTGCCGTCAGCTGAAACGAGCTGATTCTTTTTATATAGCAAGTTCCCACAGGGTTCATAGAGGCGTATAAAATTTCAAATGGAATTGAAAGAACAATACTTTCAGATTGCATCAAGAGGAGAACAAGAGGCGATGGGATTAGAGTTGCAAACGGCAATTTCAGGACAGTCACCAGGAAGTTTTTCTGTATCCAGAGGGACTCATTTAAAAAAAAGCTTGATGCTGTTTATATGGACTCTCAAAAGGCATTTGACAAAGTGCCACATGAAAGACTTGTAAGAAAGATAGAAGCCTATGGTGTAACAGAAAGCAGAGAGTTGTGGTGAACGGCTGCTTTTCTGACTGGAGGGAAGTGTACAGTGGCGTCCCCCAGGGATCGGTATTAGGACCACTGCTCTTCTTAATATACATAAATGATCTGGACTTGGGTACAGCAAGCACCATTTCCAAGTTTGCGGACGACACAAAGTTAGGTAGGGTGGGAAACAGTGAGAAGGATAGGAGCCAACTGCAGGAAGACATAGACAGAATGGTAAAATGGGCGACACATGGCAGATGAGTTTCAATGTGGAGAAATGCGAAGTAATGCATTTTGATAGAAAGAATGAGGGGAGCAATACAGACTGGTAATACAATCTTAAGGGGGGTAAAAGAACAGAGACCTGGGGGTGCAGGTAAATGAATCCTTGAAGGTGGCAGGACAGGTAGATAAGGCTGTAAAAAGGGCATATGGGATACTAGGCTTTATAAATAGGGGCATAGAGTACAAGAGTCAGGAGGTTATGATTAACCAATATAAACACTGGTTAGGCCTCAGTTAGAATACTGCGCCCAGTTCTGGGCACCACACTATAGGAAGGATGTAAGGCATTGGAAAGGGCGCAGAGGAGATTTACGAGGATGGGACCAGGAATGAGGGACCTTGATTATGAGGAAAGGCTGGAGAGGTTAGGATTATTCTCATTGGAGCAGAGAAGGTTACGAGGAGACCTGATAGAGGTCTTCAAAATCATGAGGGGATTTGATAGGTTAGAAAGGGAAAATCTGTTCCCACTGGTGGGTGTGTCGGTGACTCGAGGTCACAGATTCAAAATAGTCTCTAAAAGAAGCAGAGGAGAGGTGAGAAGAAATTTTTTCACGCAGCGAGTTGTTCGAATCTGGAACGCATTGCCTGAAAGGGTGGTGGAGGCCGATTCGATAACTACTTTTAAAAAGGCGGTGTATTTGAGGAGGACGGCAGGGTTATGGGGAAAGGGCTGGGGATTGGGACTGACATTAATTGCTCTATTCAAAGAGCCGGCACAAACTCGATGGACCGAATGGCCTCTCTTTGTGCTGTACGATTCTATGATTCTGTGATGAGAGTATGGTAAGGAGGTATTCTGGAGGGATAAGAACAGATGGGCCTTCTTCATCCGAACTATTCTGTCATCTAGTGATAAGATGGTTATAAGAGTGAAAGGAGAGTTTAGGAGTTTTTTGTGGAATGCCCTGCCAAATTAAGTGGTAGAGGCATAGAGTCCAGTATGAGTTCCATGAGACAGATAGACAGGTGTATGAAATATGGAGGCTTGAAGGTATATGGGGTAATGGAGCAGATTCTACTGCGGTACGTTTTGCTGTCGTCCTTAAATGAATGCCTCTACAAAATTATTTCATGAATGTATTGCGTATATGACATATTTTGATGCCAATATGCCAAACTGAACAATGTCTATAGGTCACAATGATGTGTTTTCAGGTAGGGGCGTGGGGGAGAAAGACCTTCAAAACAATGTTTGTTTCTTCAGACCTGTCAACTAGTTTGATCCTTTAAACCCAATAGCCTTTAGTTAGCAAAGATACCACACACACACACACACACACACACAATGGTCCCCCAAGCTTTGGCTCTCATCAAGTTGAACCTAAATCTATCCGAATTAGGTAAAAAGGGTGCGTCACTCCAGGGAGAAAGAGTATTCATTCCATTCCAGACACACGAGAGATTTCCATGTGGAAGTAGAATACATATGTGGAACTCTCAGTCTGGTTTGGATACTCTTAAGTACTAACATTGGTTTCCTCAGACACCCAGCTGACCAAAAGAAAAACGAATTACCCCTGGGCAAAAAATTAAGCAAAATGAACCTCGAGCCAGATGTAGCACCCAAGATCTAGAAAATAAAAATCGTTTTTGCCACAGGTTCACAATATAGTTATGCTTCGAGCTGGGTTGGGGGGAAAAGAGATGTGTAGAGATGTGACCATGTCAGCCAGGGGCCAAGCGCTGAGTGCAGGACCTCATACAATGTTCACATGGGTGACCAGTGCTGCCGATTCCCTCCAAATAAGTTCAAGGATGGAAACCATCAGTCTGCTGGTGAAGCTGGTTAGTAAGTCAGCAACCAGAGTGGCACAGATTTAAGGCAATTAAGTATCAGAGGGAGAAGTTAGCAAATTCTTTACATACGAAAGGTTGTTAGAACGCCCAACGTGGAACCATGATTGAGGCAGAGTCAATATTAGTTTTTAGGAGGGAATTGGATCAACGTCTGGAGAGGAGGGTAAGGGCAGAAGAATGAGGCTAAACTGAGAGCTCTTTCAGAGAACTGACATGGTACGCTGAGCCAAATGGCCTCTTCCTGTGCTGTACATTTCTAGCTAAATTCCAAATGCGAGGAGATCTAAGGTCCAAAATTGAAAGGATCTACTTTGCTGTCTCTACCACTGTCACTACTCAACTCCCCTTCCAGCTTCCTTCCACCATTCCCTCTACACTTTCAACCGAGTCTCTCCTTTATCATCTTCCATATAAGACCCCATTAATGGATATCATAAAGCTCTCTGTCCAGCAATAAAGTCTCACCCATTTCAAACAACCGTCATCACCCACCACATCTTAAAAACCTTCCCTCAACCCATCCTTATTCCGTAACTGCTATTCATCTCCAAACTGCCTTTTCTGTCAAAATTACCAGAATGAGTCATTGGTTCCCACCTTCGTTGTTCTGTTTCCCGGAAACCCTCATTCAGTGAGCACTGGCATACTTCAGATCTTAGTCGGGCTTTCACAGGATCTGCTCTCACTCTCTGGAATTCCATCTCGGATATCCCTTCGGTTTGCCCCGCTCTCGCTTGCTTCAATAATAATAATAATAATAATCCTTGCATTTGATATAGCGCTTTTCACGTCGGAAGGACGTCCCAAAGCGCTTCACAGAACACACTGTAAAGTGAATTGACTGTAAATTTGTGGGCGAACGCGGCAGCCAATTGCGCACAGCAATGTCCCACAAACAGTCGTAGATTGAAAATGCCAATTTTATTATTGTTTTTGGTTTTGGAGGGATTATTATTAGGCTCTGTGTGGAGTAAGGAAACTTGCCCAAGGTTTCGCCCTCTGCCTGGAATTGAACTCAGGTCTCTCGCTTGCAAAGCGAGTGCTCTAACCACTGAGCTACAGGACTCCAGGTCTTCAAGGTCTGCTTCAAGACTTCCCTCTTTTGACTGTGCACTTGGTCATCTTTCTCCCTGCCCATCCCCTCAGCTCAGCTCAAGTGCAAACCCTGAACTGTCCAGCATCTAGTCCGTCCATCAGCTGAAAGGGGCTATATAGATTTGTAAATTTATCTAACAATTTATGCACAATGTAAATTTGTATTGCGGTGCCAGTTAAAGACCCTGAGATGAACACTTACCAAGAGTTGGCTCAAATAAGTTAAACAACTCTTTAAAGAAAACCACTAATGTTACCCCAACATTCATACACAAGGTTGTCCATTGGTAAGTTTAGCGATAAGATAAAGTGAACAAAGTTTCCATGGAGCAGTATTCCAACAGAATTACTGTGGTGATGATGACATTTTGCAAAGCTACCTTATGAAGTCTCTGGGTAAATAATACATGGTGGTAATGCATTTCAGTTAATGTTTGGGGAATCCAACGCTCATTATTTTCAGATCTAAACGAAACGTGTGCATGCAAACTGCATGCACATTTGAAAGAGAACATTGAATGATCACCTTTACAGGTATGAATTTCAGATTTCCTGAGGTGAGTCTCTCTTATTTTAAAAATGTGTCTGTGACTGCAATGTCATGTCATCAAGAACTGCTTTATAGTGTGTCAGAGCCACCGTAAGACCTTGTTCGGGACACGTCTTCATTCCTCCTCCTTCTGCTCTTCTATACCCTTTCTCCCTTGCGTAAGCATCAAGTTTCTTCTTAAATACACTGATGCTGTTTGTTTCAACCACAGTTTCCGGCAGTGAGTTCCTCATTCTCACTAGCCTCGTGGTGAGAAGTTCATCCTAAACTCCCTTTCAGATCTGCTACTGGCTGCCTTATATTTGCGTTTTGATATTACATTTGGTTGCATGAGTTTAAATGGCAACTTTTTCTGCGTCTTCATTATGTATATTTTCTCCTTCCAGCTCTTACCTCTTTATAACTTGAAGATTTTTTTTCTCTCCTCCTCTCCAATTTTGTCTATGATATCCACATGCAACCGTGATTCCAAATCCTCTCCAAAGCACTCCTCTCCCTCATCGATTCTTCCTTATTTTCATGTGATTTATGCAACACACTTTCCTCTGCCTCAACTTTTCTCTTCCTCTTCACCATCTTATCTTTCTGTCTTATCTCTCTGCCTCAATCTCCCATCTTCTGCCCATTTCTTTGCTTCTCCTGCACTCTAGTGTAAAGTTGTCCCCTTTCCCCAGGAAACACTCCTTCCCTACTGCCAGAGGCCACCCTGCGTTGTGTTTGACTTGCATGCCTGGTTACTGAGAACCTTTCTTTGTAACGTTTATTATGTCCACCTCCATTTCATCAATTTCTGAGCTGTTTACAACATTTGCATTGTTTGGGGTATTGTGGCTGCCTTTATTATGGCTTTATTCAATGTTAAATTTTCTTCTCTGAATAATTTTTTCTGATTCCCAAGGGCCAATTGGTCCCTGATCATTTCATCTCTCACATCACTGTCATCGCACATTCTGATTACCTGTCTTAGTACTTGAATGTACTGGTCACATTTCATTTTCAGTTTATTTGTGTCTCGCAAACTTGAACCTATCTATTATAACTTTGGTTCTACCAACACATTGGCCCTCAAATGTCTGCTGGTCTACCAGCGGCTCAACATCATATGTTTCAACTGCTTCCAGTCCGGCGACGTTTAAAAATACTGCATATTGCCATTGACGCCTATTGTGTAGGCCTACTGCCAAGGCAATGTAACTTCTTAAACATTCATCAATTTACTCTTATGTTTCCAGAAAATTATAACTCACTTGGCTGCTGCAGTATTCATAGCAAGCAAATTTCCCCGTCATCTGTGGTCCATCCTGAATTCATTCCCCTTCACCTGATGGGTGAATGAGACTTGGCTCTGGCCCCCATCAATGAGCGGTCGGTTTCTTCTTATCCTTCAGTGTCTTTCTCTCCATGTCTTTTTGGACCCATGTGTGACACCTCTCAATAAAATGAAAACACTTTCCGCTCCAAGCTTGAAAACGCTTCAACTTTATTGAAGTCCCACCGACTCCATTCTCTTCCTCCTATCATTCTTCTCATGACTAAAATCAGGGCATGTAGAGACCTGGGAGAGGTAGCAGAATGAATTAAAGAATGGTTAGGAAACCAAAAGCAAAGAGTAGGAGTTAAGGGCATTTTCTCAGACTGGCAAAAGGTAGGAAGTGGTATTCCACAGGGATTCAAGTTAGGACCGCTACTGTTCATCATATATTTAAATGATTTCGACTTAGATATAGGAGGTGTGTTGTTAAAATTTGCAGATTACATCAAATTGAGGGGTATACTGCGTAAATAGTGAAGAGGAATGCAGAAGAATACAGGAAGCAAAATGGGAAGACAGATGACAAGTTAACTTTAACACAGGAAAATGTGAAGTAATTCACTTTGGCAGAAAAAATAAAGAAGCCATCTAATATGGTAGTAAGCTAGGAATGGAGAAGCCAAGAGATCTAGAGATTCAGAACCACAAATTTCTAAAAGTAGCAACACAGAGAGATAAGTACATAAAAAGGCAAATGGGGTCTTGGGTTTTATATTCAGTGGGATAGAGCATAGAATTGACAAAGGAATGTTAAATATACATAAACCCTGGTTAGACGACACTTGAAGTATTGTCTCCAATTCTGGTCACATACTACAAGAGATTTATAGCAGTGATGAAAAGAGTACAACATAGGTTTATCAATGATAAAAAATAATAATACTTGCATTTGGTATATTGCCTTTCATGTGGGAAGACATCCCAAAGCATTTCACATGATATACTGTAAAGTGGAGTGGCTGTGTGTTTTGTGGGCAAACGCAGCAGCCAAATTGCAGCCATGAAGTGAATGACCAATTGTATCTGGGGGATTGTTGGCCAGGACACCAGGAGAGAGAAACTCACTTCTTTTTTCAAATTGTGCCATGGGATCTTTAATGTCTACCTGAACAGGCAGATGGATCTCAGTTGAACATCTCATTCAAAGGATGGCATCTCATTGGAGTAATGAAGTGAATAACCAATTTTACCTCGGGGATAAAAGCCCCAGCACTGCATTGGAGTATCATCTTAGACAATGTGATTCCAAGTCCCAACATGGAGCTTGAACCCTCTGACTCAGAGGCGAGAGTACTATCACTGAACAACAACAACAACAAGATTCCATTTATAGAGCGCCTTTCACGTCAGGAGGACGTCCCAAGGCGCTGTACAGTTGGGTCAGGACCTGAGCATTGGGGGGAAATGGTCAGGGTGAGGGGAGAGAAGGGAGGGAGCGAGGAGGGGGTAGAGAGTCGAGAGGGGAGCCGAAGGCTCGGTCAAAGAGAAAGGTCTTGAGACCAGCCCTGAAGGAGGAAAGGGAGAAAGCGGCGAAGGCACTGGGGGATAGAGTTCCAAAGCCTAGGGGCTGAGAGACTGAAGGCCCGGCCACCGATGGTAGGGCGGTTGGGGCGGGGGATGTGGAGCAGACCGGAGTCAGAGGAACGGAGGGTACGGGCAGGTAGGTAGGGGGATAGTAGGTCAGAGAGGTAGGAGGGAGCAAGGCCGAGAATGGCCTTGTAGGTGAGGATGAGGATCTTGAAATCCATCCTCTGGGCTGACACAACTGATCTCATCTTTCCAGAACAACCGCTGCAATGTCCTCTCATTACAGCATCAAGATGTTTTGGTTTTAAATTAATCCAGTGTCCTGACCTCAACCACCCTTCCTTTGAAATTATTCCAGGCAATGATTACCTGCTGGGTAAAGAACAACTTCCTGGTGTCTGTCCTGAAATTGCCCTTTACAACTTTCAACTCATGTCCTCCTGTTCTTCTGGCTTGCTGAATCCCTGAAGTACTGTTCTGGGATTACGTTTTTCAATGCCATTTAAAATGTTATACATTTCCCTCTACATCATGTACTCTCAAGACTGAAGTGCCCCAGCTCGTCTAATCATTACTTATAACACTAAGTCCTCCCTTCTGCGGGGGACCAAAGAAGCTTTTTAAACCCAAGCTTGGGATCAACTAACCTCACTTTCTTTGGGTGAGACCTGTACAATGATCCTTGACAGCTCACCCGGATTTACCAATGAAAACACAGTAATGTGAAACTGTTAATCTGTAATTTTTTAATGTAATCTGTAATCTTTAAATGTAATTTTAGCATTGGAAGGATATATACTTGTTGACTATGGGGAATTTTACTTAACAACTACAGTTCTGAGAAGTATACATTAAAGGTTGCAATAACAGTATCACAAGGGTTTTCATTTAACCTCAATTTTAAAACTAAAAGTCTTTCTTTTGTCTCTATAAGAGAATCAACTATGAAGTTTTGCCTTTTTATTCTGTACATTCTGAACGCTGCCATTGGTTCGAGTAAATTCAATTCAGATGCAAAATGGAGCATGTGGAAAGTCACTCACAGGAAGCAGTATGCTAATTTGGTAAGCCGAATGCGCATTAGAGAAAATCCATACAAACAGAGATGCATATCTATTTCCTTTGTTCACACGCACTCACTTTTGCTGTTAACGCCACACAAAAAAATTTACGCACCATGTCCTTACAATGGGAACTGACAATTCCAACCACAATGAATAATATTTAACAGGAAAATGTGAGAGATTACAGAATTGGTCACCCTCAAGACTGAAGATCTTTGAGAGTACCTCAATAAACCTCTTCTAAATCTGGGCTCAAGATATTCAACTGGAAATCCCAGAAGTCAGTTTAACATTCTCCCCAAATTAGGCAAAATACCAAAATTTAGAAAGCTCACAACCTCATGAAAAAGTTGCTAGTGTTCAAGAAAGTCAAAAATTAAAATCCTAGTACCTCGGTTAATTAACACAGTAACTTGCTCTTTCGGTGATCCCGTTAGCCAACTGAAGCAAATTAGATGTATTAACACATTAATACACAAGTGGAAAAGCCATTGGGTTAATCACAGAATACATCTGAGAATTTCTCACTGAGCTACACCCGACCCATCTCTGTACTAAGGAAAGGTTCTGCAATATTTATTAATAATAATCTTACATTTGATACAGCGCCTTTCAATCAGGAGGACATCTCAAACCAAGATATACTGTAAAGTGCAGTTATTGTGTATTTTGTAGGCAAACACAGCAGTCAATTAGCACACATCAATGCCTGCAAACAGTCATGAAGTGAATGATCAATTTTATTTAGGGGGATTGTTGGTCAGTGCACCAGGAAAAACACTCTTCTCTTTTCGAATAGTGCTGTGGGATCTTTAACATACAACTGAACAGGTAGACAGGACCTCAGTTTAACATCTCATCCAAAGGACGACTCCACATTAGTGTATAATCTTAGACTATATGATTTCCAAGTTCCAATAAGGCATTTCAACCCACAGCGCTTTGACTCAGATGTGAGAGCGCTACCAACTGAGGCAGGCTGACACTCCCCAGTACTCAAAAATCAAGTAAAATCCCTGATTACTTATCCTACAGTACAGCTCCGAATCACTGACACTCCATTTTCTTGATAAGGCCTCAAGAATTCAAGAACCATTAACATTACTCCCCACAACCTATCATCTTGGATAGTTTTGTTGGTTGAACAGCAATCCTGAATACAGAAAGTTTGAGCTTTGAATCCATGTGATGCACTCAATCCTTTCAAGTTCAATAAACAATAAATGTATGAGTTTATCCCTCTATCCTGGCCAATAATCCCCTAGAGAAATTTGTCATTCACTTCATGGCTGTTTGTGGGACACTTCTGTGCGCCAAAATTGACTGCCACCTTTGCCTACAATATGACACAGTTACTACATTTTACAGTAAGATCCCATGAAGCACTTTGAGATGTCCCCGTAATCTGAAAAGCTCTTTACATTATTTACAAGGGTTATTATCTGAGCCAATAGAAAAGTGTGGACATCTTTGTCCAAAATTCCGGGGAGATTTGCTAATTTTGCGGAAAATGGTGGGGGCTGGTTGCTGCTATTAAGGTACATTTTACTACTAACCTCATTTTTTCATTTTATTGATAAAAACTAAACATGAGGAAATAACACATACTAGATTGTTACAAAAAAATTAATTGATTCGTTAACAAAAACTAGGTGGCCATTTTTTTTTGCGGGGGGGTGGACACCAGCGAGGCTAAAGGCGCTCATCACCTCCTGCCTCTCAGAACCTGGCACCGCAGACAGACACAGAGACCCAAAGAGAGAGACACTCTCGCAGACAAAGAGAGAGAGACAACCCTCAGAAACACAGAGATATATACACACCCAGACAGAGGAGAGAGACACACACATACACACAGACACACTCATAAACAAACATACATAGAGAACACAGACGCAGAAACACTCACAAACACACAGTCACACTCACACAGAGACACTCACAAACAGACACACATACTGAGGAGAGAGACACACTCACATAGACACAAACAGAAAGAGAGACACACATATGCACATAGACACTCACAAACAGAGACATATTCAGACACACAGAGAGATACACACTCACATAGAGACACTCATAAACACAGAGAGAGACACACACACAGACACTCACAAACACAGAGAGAAAAGAGCGACACATACACAGACATTCACAAACACAGAGAGAGGAGACACACACAGTCACTCACATACACATCGAGAGAGACACACACAATCACAACCTCTGAACGCAGCCCATTTGCCGTTTGCGCCGCACTGCGCAATCGCGACCTGATCCACCCCTTCCACATTGACATCACGTAAACAGAAGAGGTCGGCGGGCCACAAACTACATTTATCGCGGATTTTCTCGTGGAGGAGGGCACTTGTCGTAGATTCCATGGAAAAAGTAGGGCCGCACATTTCTATTGGCCCAGGTTATTATCATTGCTCTCTCGTGTTGAACTCTTAAAAGAGCTTCTGGGAGGTAAAACATGTTTGGAGATGCCAGGTCCACACCGTGTAAGTCAAAGCCCTAATAGATAAGGTGGTCCCAGCTGGGCAAATACTCTGATGTGCTATTACTAGTGGCAATCATTCCATTCCAAACCAGATGGAAGTCCAGCAAGTCTTAAATCTTGCTTGGGATTTGTTAATTGTGACCTTTTCAGATACAAACATTCATTTGAACCCTTTTTAATACACAGGTTCCTGTGTTTAGCGAATTCCAGTGATTTTATGCAGTGTTTGGGGTAACTCAGTGTTCTTTACTTTAGGTGGAAGAGACTAACAGGAGAATAATATGGCAGGCAAACCTGCAGGAAATCAAAACACACAATATGGAGTACAAAAGACGAAGGGTATCATTTAAAATGGGCATGAATCATTTTGGAGATTTGGTAAGTTATTGAAGAATCAGGTTGTGGTGTCATCCTGGGGCAGTGTCTGAGAGTGTCTGGGGCACTCTCGGCCGAGTCAGAAAGTTGTGAGTTCATGCCTCACATCAGGACTTGGAATCACAGCCTAAGCTGACACACCAATGCAGTGCTGGGAGTTAGTTGCATTGTTGGAGATGTCACATTTCGGATAATCGAGGTGCCATCACCTGTTTAGGTGGGCGTTAAGAGATCCAACAGCACTATTCGAAAAGAGAAGGGAGTTTCTCTCTCCCGGTGTCCTGGCCAACAATCGCCCCAAATAAAGTTGGTCACTCACTCCATGGCTGTTTTGGGACATTGTGTGCACAAACCGGCTGCTGTTTTTCGCCTGCAAAATAGTTAATCCAGTTTACACAATATCCTGTGCAGCACTTTGAGCCTCGATGACATGATAAGATGCCATATCGAATGCAAGTATTATTATAGGATTAATGATACAATTTACATTTATGGAGCACCTTTCATGTCAGGAGGACACCTCAGAGTTGAATAGTTCAGTTACCAACTTGATCAAACAAACTTTTAGACCAAACACATCTATGCTCATGGTACAAGCAATAGGCTGCATTGCTGAAATCTGAGGTTTTGCCACACTACATATCTTTATGTCAACTCCTGTGAAAACCGGCTTTAAATTGCGAGCTTGGGTAACGCAACGAACTGATGACAGTTCTGCCATCATATTTGAAGACTGTAAAAATGTTACTGCAGTGTATACCATAACAAAGATCTTTTTTTCCCTCCACAGTCGTCAAGTGAGTTCCAGAGAATATACCACCATCAATCTTTCAAACAGCGCTCGTTCGTGTACATCATACAGGAAGTGAAGCCCTTTCTGCCATTTAACAACTCGTTTATTGTACGCAGCGTGGACTGGCGCAAAAAAGGCTATGTTACCCCAGTGTATTACCAGGTAGACATTACTTTTCTACAATGTTCCCAACGAGGGTGCTTGAGGCCAGGACGTCGCGTGCGTTTAAGAAACCACTTGTGGGGGAAACCCGCAATTCTATGAGCCAAAGTTTTCAAGGGGTTTGTGTCAGTTTATGAATTCTTTTGCGCCGGTTCAAGTATTCCGGAAGTAGCCAATCAGCATCCTCGATGGAAAATTCCAGCAAGTGTAAAGCAGCCAGTCACAGTCTGGCACATGTGCACTGCTCAGTTCCATATTTAATAATAGTTATTAATTATGTATTAGTAGTACTAGCAGCAAGGGCATGGAGGGCTTTGAAAGCTAGGATGAGGATTTTGAGGAGCCAGTGTCATTGAACCTGACCAATAATTAGAAAATTAGTGGACTCGAGGCATGCCCTGTTGCCTTCAGAAACCGGACCCACTTTCAACGTTTATTTTACCCTGTGTATTGTGTCACAAGAACGTTTTCAACATGTCAATCTCCTGTTCAATAGCATCGAACAGTACAAAGCGGTTTGAAAAACTTACACAGGTCTGATTGCTGCTGCAGACTCCATGGTCTGAACAGTGGAGGGTTAATTTCAAAGATTAAGGTCATGGTGTCAATTGATCTTTATTAAATCTCAGACTACAATACTGATCTTTAAAAAGGGACAGCTTCAGCAAATTGAATTAATCATAGAAAATTACAGCACAGAAGGAGGCCATGCAGCCCACGAAGTCCCAAGCAGATGTCAGAGCATGGTAAACCATCAATCCCACTGCCCTGCCCTATCCATTTCAACCTCAAATTACTACTGAGAAATATGCAGACAATTATTATTATTATATAATACATAAATATTATATGAAGTATCTATCAAGATCTGTCGCATGTGAAGTTATACAAAGGTTGCAGAATGACCTGCAAGATGGCTGGAAGATAATAAAAGAGGCTCCTCAGACTGGCAAGCAATAGTGAGTGGTGTTCTGCAGAGATCCCCATCAGAATAAAATCCTTACCTTTACCTACAAATCACTTCATTTCCTCGCAACCCTCCACCTCACTGTGAGCTTCTCCAACCTCCCTCAAGACCTCCGAGATGCTACTGGTGTGAAGGGCACTCAGCTTCATGAGTGTTCCCAGCCTCACTACTGCCCGCCGAACCTTCAGCCCCATCTTTTGAAACTCCTTCCACTTCTTCATCTCCTTAATATTTTTTTTTTGTCAGCTGGGTGTCTTAAGTATGGTGATGGCTTTCCATAGTGTCAGAGTACCAAGCCAGATTGAAGAGTTCCATTTCTGCCACCTCCAAGGAAATTTCCCTGTTCCTTGAATGGAGCACTTATTCCCCCCCCCCCCCCCCACACACCCCGACAGAGTTATCCTATTTACCAAATTCTGGAAAATGTTAGACACAGGTTGTCAAAAAACAATGGGGCCAAAATCTAACAATTCAAAAACTTTTAGTCACTGCAAGATGTGGATTTTAATCATTGCCTTGCCCAATCAAACCTTCTCTCCCCAGGGCACCTGTGGCTCCTGCTATGGCTTTGCTGCAACTGGATCATTAGAGGCAATGATTTTCAAGAAATATGGTAAACTCATCAAGCTGAGTGAGCAGAGCATTGTTGACTGTTCAAGCTATTATGGTAACCTTGGATGCTCTGGGGGCTCAATCATTCGGGCCTACAAATTTGTTATGGAGAACGGAATTCAATCGGCAGACACATATCCCTATACTGCGAAGGTACTTTTGCTTTTACAATATTTGCAATGGCTCTCTTTGGTAACAATGCAAAGAAGTGAAAAGGGTCTGCTTAGCATCCTTTCTTTGTGCCAGCCTGGCTCTATTGGTAGCATTATCGCCTCTGTGTCAGAAGGTTTGGAGTTCAAGACACCACGTCAGGACAGAAAGAACTCTCAGCAGAAGGCTGAGTCAGACGGTCTTACAAGGATCTTCCTGAGTGGGCTCATGACCACAAACCACATCAAATGTGAGAGATCTGATTGTGGATGCTCTCAAGAAGTACGTGGACCTCGGCATGAAGGCCATCACCCTTCAGTGCCATCGCCTGTCACCAAAAAGTTTGGTTTGAGATTGGGGTTCAGGAGGGGATGGAAGACCATATCCTCAACGCAATTCAGGCCAAAGGTCGTACGTACACCTTGCTGGATGCCGTACTAACCAACATCCTCAACCTGCCTCGACAGTCTCATCACATTAGAATAGTAAGAAAATGTGTCAAAGGCCTGGTCTCTCCTTTGGCACGTGGAATGTTAATTCCTTGGGAGGCTAAATGTCTGCGATCGACCTCTTCCTTTCCCAAGAAAAAAAATTATGTCCTCACTCACCAAGAAATGTTGGGATGGTGCATGATCATCACTTGGGTTTTCATGGGTACTGTAGGAGTTCCAGGTCCCCAATGAGGAGCTTGAACTCACAAACTTCTAAATTAGTGCTACCAACTGAGCCAAGCCAACACATCATAGAGTGCAACATAGAGCATCAAAGGGTCAGAAATAAAAGTTCTGATTTTAGGACTAATTTTAATACTGTATGCATTTATTTTTTCTTTACAAGGCTGGCACTTGTAGGCATAACAAATCTTCAACGGTAGCAACGATGTCCCATTACATAAAAGTACATTCTAATGAAGAAGCTTTAGCTCAAACAGTATCAACCGTTGGACCAGTTGCTGTATGTGTTCATACCAAAACCCGTTCGTGGCAATTTTATAAATCAGGTATGGTTATTACACACCTTTCAATCAATATCAACAATTATCACCATGTCTCAAAACCTTATAGTAAGGAATTCAATGGGCCAAAAGCAATAGATATAATAATCCTCGCACTTGATATAGTTCCTTATCACGTTTGAGACGTCTCAAAGCGCTTCACAGAATCTACTGTAAAGTGGATTGACTGTATTTTGTGGGCGAATCGTGGGAGCCAATTGCATGCGCACAGCAGTGTCCCATAAACAGTCATGGATCGAGTGACCGATTTTTTTTAAGGGATTATTACAACAACAAGATTTCATTTATGGAGCACCTTTCACGTCGGCAGGATGTCCCAAGGCGCTGGACAGTTGGGTCAAAAAAGTAATCAATCGACTAACAAGCGGGTATTTACTTACTGCTAGATAAACAGGAGCATGTGGAGTAAAGTAACTTCCACAAAGGATCATCCACAGTCAGAGTAATTAAATCATTTAGTACAAGTTACATAGTATGTTACATAGTCTGTGCCCGTGTTTATATCCCATACGAGTCCTCACCTCTCCTAATCGCCTTTCCTATTCCCTTCTTTTTATGTAGTGTATTTTGTACAGCTGGTTTGGAAAAACAACCCTTCTAATCGCCTCTGCTATTCCCTTCAACTCTTAAAAATGCATTGTTTCTTTTTGCTTTAATTTTTTTTGGTTACCCTTTTTTTGGGGTCTGACACTGCAGAAACCCATCACCGTGCTTAAGAGTATCCAAATCAAACTGAGAACTCCATGCATCCAACCTACATATTTAGAGAGATAGCTAGAATGGAAAGCGCACTCTCTCTCTCTCTGGAGGGACGCATCTTGCGTTGACACGAGCTAAGGCTTGGGCACCCCAGAGTGGGCATTGGGGTAACTGTGAGAGTCTAACCAGCTAAAATCGCATAGCTTGTCATTCATAGCATTAACAGGCAAGCTTGTCCAGCTAGGACTACCATACCTGTTAGGGCTTTGGCTTGCATGGTTAACAGAAGCCGAGTGGGAGGATTCCCCGCTTCCAGTGTTTGGCGTACCCTTCGAAGTCCTGCAGCTGCTTTCCGTGTTTGCCACAAATCCACCTTACTGCTTGATCCTGGACTTCGCCACATGAAAACTTACTGGCAAGCACTGGAATCACATTGAATTGCAGGAAATTAATTTCTTCTGCATACTTACTGATGGATCAAGACTATGGTTCACATAAGTCTGCACGCGTCGACAGGTCAAGGTGTAATTTTCCCTCAATTCAATGGAGGATAGGGGAGCGACATTACAAGTTAAACGATAAATACAACTAAATACACATGATCTATCCTCCCAGCTTCCCAAACGAGGTGGTCATTTGGGAAAAAGCAAAGATAGAAGAGGGAAATAAATATCAAATGTAAGAATTATTATTATTATAAATACAAAGAAATCTAAGTGATCATGAGAGGAAACTGAATGGTACTTGGGTGTCTGTACGACTTGGGCTATTATAAAGATAGGACTTATGTGAGTTTTAATGTAGAAGAATGACAACATTATATATACATGGTCCAACAAATGGGGTAGCTTCTTGGACCACTTAACAATGGTGTTGTTTGCCAGGGAGGGATGGGAGGTGACCTTAGTCGAAAGTCTTCAGATGTAATCTGAAGATAATAAAATAATAATCCTTGCATTTGATATAGCACTTTATTATGTCTTTGAGACGTCTTAAAGCGGTTCACAGAATATACTGTAAAATGAACTGATTGTACATTTTGTGGGCGAAGATGGATCAAGAGGGCACAAGGCGGAGGGATTGAGGCAGGAAGTTCCAGAGGGTTAGGGCATAGTGGCTGAAAGCACAGTCGCTGATTGTGAAGCGGAGGGGTCAAGAACGTGGAGAAGGCCCAAACTGGGGCAGCAAAGGGGGTAGACTAGTGGGCTGTGAGCAGGTCAGAGAGGTAGGAAGGTGCCAGCACATGAAGGAATTTGTGGAACTTGAAATTAATCCGTTAATTAATTAATCTGGCATGGTCTGGGGCGATGCGTGTGCAGAGTTTGGTGCAGGTGAGGACACAATCAGCGGAGTTTTGAATTAGTTGGAATTTGTGAATGGTGGAGCTGCGGATACTAATGAGGAGGGTACTAAAGGACATTCGCAGGAGTCTTTCATGTGGTACCTTGTCAACTGCATAGCGTGCCACTGAGGGCACCGTCTGGCAAGCTTCCTGCTGTTTTATTCCAGCTAGCAATGCTTTGAAATATTCCAATGACATAATAAGGTGGTTTATCAAATGCAAGGACTATTAAATCTCAATCGGCATCTAACTGTATAACTGACCTGAGGATGCATAACCTTTAGTAAGTACTTTGATGGGAACACCTTCCACAATATTCAAATGGCCTTTTTGGGCAGTTTCTTTCGAGACTGAAATTAGACAGTGAGTGACCTGCAGATGAATCCAATATATTTTAACCTTATCAATCTTGTAGAGGCTCTTAGAAAGTTAGCATTAGAATAATTTCTTTACACTGTGCTAAGGTGATACATTCGTTTGCAAAATAAAGTGACGACACTTTCACAGTTCATCCTGTGAAGTTCTTTTAGATTTCCTCCTGACGCGAAAGTCACTGCATCAAATGTACAATTCAATACAGTTTACACAGAATAGAATCTTACAGCACAGAAGGAGGCCATTCAGCCCAGCTTACCTGTGCCGGCTCTTTGAAAGAGGTATCCAATTAGTCCCACTCCCAAGCTCTTTCCCCATAGCCTGGCAATTGTTTCCTTTTCAAGTATATATCCAATTCCCTTTTGAAAGTCATTATCGAATCTGCTTCCACCACCCTTTCAAGCAGTGCTTTCCAGAATGTAGCAAATCGCTGTGAAATTTTTTTTCCTCATCTCCCTTCTGGTGCCCCCTTAGGAGTGCCCTTCATATCAGGAGGACGTCTCAGGTGGACACCTGAGCTGGGGGCACGGGAGGGAGGCAAAGAAAATAATTATTAAGGATTATTATTCCATTCTACAGGTATCCTTTATGATCCCCTTTGCAAGAACTACACTTATGACCATGGTATGCTTGTGGTGGGATTCGGCATTCAGAAGGATGAGCACTACTGGATTGTTAAAAATTCGTGAGTTTGATCTACTTTTATAGAAATATTAAAAGACTGACAAGGCTTTAAAATACAGGAGATCAAACATATAGATGGAGCTGGCTAAGGATTATTTGATCAGGATACAGTCTTGTTACATGCAATATCTGGACAAGATCTGGAGGCGTCACAATTAAGCAAATCATTATCTTTCTGTAGTTTTAGTGATGTTCAAAGGAGAAATTGACCTTTAAATTTGAATCAAAAGCATAAGGTATGAAAACTTGAGACAAAATCATCAAAACCTAATGTCTATAAAGGTCCTCCCAGCTCTCCGATCATCCTGTGCGTAAAAAGCACCACAATGCTCTCTTATTCTCTATAGACTCCTTGATCACCACAAAAAATCAAGTCCCGGTCCACCTTATCTAAGCCTCCCATCATCTGCTACACCTCTATATCCCCTCTCAGCCTTCTGAGCTCAAAAAAAGCCCCAAGTCATCACCAGGTACTGAACAGAGACCAGGAACAGGAATCCTGGCCGGTTTTCCCTTCCCTTACCTTGGGAACCCAATTTAGCCTACGCACACAGCCCAGGATGAGACCAGTAAACACAGAACAGACAGGGGTTCAAGCCAACAAGCTCCCACTCATTTTTTTTATATAGCTAGCGCAATATACAGTGAAGAAGGTAAAGGAGCATTGAATAAATTCACAGAAATCTTCTTTGCTTGTAATGCAGGCAACTTGAACTAAAAGCAAGCTGGCTTTGTTTTGTAGCAAATTTGTACACACAAATATCTAGGCACATTTTTCTCTCTTAGCTTCAGAATTGATGAGACAAACTTAGATGCAAACTATTTTTGTGTTGCAGGTGGGGATCTCGTTGGGGTATGAAAGGTTACATCTGGATTGCAAAGGACAGGAATAACCACTGTGGAATTTCCTCGTACGCAACATATCCTGAATAGTGTTTCAAATACCCAAAGCAATTGACTATTAGCTGAAAAGCTAGCATTTGAATATCATTCTATACTATTTAGATACCATTTGGGTAGAATATAGTGATGCCAAATGATTAATTGGGATTATAGGTCAAGCCTTTTCTCTTCCTACATTAAATATTAAGCTTCCTTGTGATGCCTGAAGGAGGAGCTAACCCTGCAGAAGAATAACTGGACAATGGAGGAAACAGTACAGAGAAGCATCCAATAAAAATGCTTTCACTAATCTTCACTGTTTGGTATGAAAGCTATGATACTCAAAACGTGGTATGAGGGCATCTTGCTTATTTTTTACTTTCTGTGCCGCAAAAATAAATCTCTCTCTCTGCCTAGGCAATGCAAACAATTGTAATCACGAAATACATAAATTAAAAGCAAAACATTGTTGTAACAATATAATTTTCTATGTTTAATGACTGTGTTCAGTGCTCTTCTCAGATCTACTAATCCCCCAGCCTGGCTCAGTCATGACACTCTCGCCTCCAAGTCAGAAGGCTGTAGGTTCAAGGTCCACATCGGGATTTAAAACTCATACACACTAAAACCCTGGCTGGACAGACCAATGGGCAGACATCCAGGCTATTCAAGCAGACATTAAATATCCTATGTTTCTCCCGGTGTCCTGGCCAACAAACCCCAAATAAAACTGGTCATGAACTCCATGGTTGTTTTGGGACATTGCCATGCACTGTCATGACGCTGCCATGTTGCCATGCCTACAAAATGCACAGTCACTGCACTTTACAGTATCCTTTGAACTGTTTTCTTGATTTGAAAGGCGCTGTAAAAACTGCAAGGATTTTTGGTTATTATTGTTATTGTCATAATAAAACAGACAAGTTTATTCGAAAGGGCCAAGGTACACAAAGCAGGATGGACCACTAACCCTGGAAAGAGCAGGAGACAAGATGAGATGAATTGAGAAGTTAGTGGTTAGGTTTGGAAGTCTGCAGATTGTAGGGGGAAGAGAAGGCTGCGTGGAGGTTAAGAGTTCTAAAAATACAATTCTCTAAAGGCCTCTTACAGCTCAATTTAACTGCTTGAAGAAACTGCTCGAAGAAGCAACAAGACAATATGATTCTTTATTTCATTACCCCCACACCCCCACCACCTGAAACAAAGTAAACCCTGAGGGAAATTGGAACTTCTATAAACTGGGAGTTTCTCTCAGTGTCTTGGTTGACAATCCCCCAGATAAAATCGATCAGCCACTTTGTGGCTGTTGTAGGATTTCACTGTACCCAAATTGGCTGCCACATTCACCCCCAAAGTACACAGTCACTACACTTTCCAGTATTTCCTGTGAAGCACTTCGACACTTCCTCCCAAAGTGAGAGGCACTATATCAACAGCAAGTTTTTTTTAATCTGCAGAGATATTCCAATGGGAACATTTTATAAAGGAATGATGTTAAGAAAAACAGCCAACACGACTCTATTGACCACTAAATCACTCACTTTAGTACTCGGTGTATGATTTAGCATACAGTTTTAAATCAATCTTCGTAAAGATAATGGGCGTGGATATCCCCCCAAAATCTTCATAGGATACAACAACAACAACAACAACAAGATTCCATTTATAGAGCGCCTTTCACGTCAGGAGGACGTCCCAAGGCGCTGCACAGTTGGGTCATGACCCGAGCAGGGGGGAAATGGTCAGGGTGAGGGGAGGGAAGGGAGGGAGAGAGGAGGGGGGAAATGGTCAGGGTGAGGGGAGGGAAGGGAGGGAGCGAGGAGGAGGAAGAGAGTCGAGAGGGGAGCTGAAGGCTCGGTCAAAGAGAAAGGTTTTGAGACCGGCCTTGAAGGAGGAAAGGGAGGAAGCAAGGCGAAGGCACTGGGGGATGGAGTTCCAGAGCCTCGGGGCTGAGAGGCTGAAGGCCCGACCACCGATAGTAGGGCGGTTGGGGCGGGGGACGTGGAGCAGACCGGAGCCAGAGGAACGGAGGGTACGGGCAGGTAGGTAGGGGGATAGTAGGTTGGAGAGGTAGGAGGGAGCAAGGCCGTGAATGGCCTTGTAGGTGAGGATGAGGATCTTGAAATCAATCCTCTGGGGGATGGGGAGCCAGTGGAGGCGAGCGAGGGTAGGAGTGATGTGGTCCCGAAGCCTGGTGCGGGACAGTACACGAGCTGCAGAGTTCTGAATGACCTGCAGCTTGTGGAGGGAGGTGGCGGGAAGGCCGGCGAGGAGAGAGTTCCCATAGTCCAGCCTTGAGGTGACAAAGGCGTGAACCAGGGTTTCAGCAGCGTGAGGGGTGAGGTAGTGCCGTAATCTGGCGATATTCCGGAGGTGATGGAAGGCGGTGCCAGTTGTGGTGCGGATGTGAGGGAGAAAGGACAGCTCAGGGTCGAACAAAACGCCGAGGTTCCTGACTGGCTTTGAGAGGTGGAGAGTGCAGCCTTGGATGCTGATGGTGTCAGCGCCTGAGGTGCGGAGGCGCTGACGTGAGCCAATCAGGAGGGCCTCGGTTTTTCGCACGTTGAGCTGAAGAAAGTTGTCTCTCGTCCAGGACTCGATGTCGGACAGGCAGGCTGTCAGGACATCGGTGGTCGTGGAGTTGAGAGTAGAGGAGGAAAGGTAGAGTTGGGTGTCATCCGCATACATGTGGAAGTTAACCCCATGTTTGCGGATGATGTCACCGAGGGGGAGCATATAGAGGGTGAAGAGGAGGGGACCGAGGACAGAGCCCTGAGGGACACCACATGAGACAGTACGGGGGGTGGAGGAGAAGCCATTCGTTGAGACGAAGTGAAGACGGTGGGAAAGGTAAGAGCTAAACCATTCAAGGACAGTGCCTTGAAGGTTGAGGTGGGAGGACAAGCGGTGGAGTAGGATAGCGTGGTCGACCGTATCGAATGCTGCCGATAGGTCGAGGAGGACGAGGAGACAGAGGGAGCCCTGGTCACAGATGGTCAGGATATCATTGGTGACCTTGACCAGGGCAGTTTCTGTGCTATGAGCAGCACGGAAACCTGACTGAAGGGGTTCAAAAAGAGAATGGGTGGAGAGGAAAGAGCGCAGTTGGGAGGCGACAACTCTTTCCAAGACCTTGGAGAGAAAGGGGAGGTTGGAGATGGGCCGGTAGCTTGATAGCTGCGACGCATCAAGGGAGGGTTTTTTCAGGGTGGGCGTGATGATGGCAGTTTTTAATGGAATGGGGACAGAGCCAGAGGAGAGGGACAGGTTTATGATGTCAGTGATATGTGGGGCAAGAAAATGGAGCTGGGAGATAAGGAGTGGAGTGGGGATGGGGTCAAGGGAGCAGGTGGTTGGTTTTAGGGATAGGATGAGTTCAGTGACAGAGGGTGGGGAAACGGGTACGAAGGTGTGTAGGGGAGGATGGGTAGGAGTCGGAGTGTGGGAGGGAAGGGGTGGGTGGTGGGTGGAAGTTGGAGGGGAAGTGACCGCGGAGCGGATTCCCTTGATCTTGGATTCAAGGAAATCCAGCATCTCCTCGCAGTGAAGGTTGGAGGAGATGACCTGCGCGGGGTGGCGGGGGGGACGGAGGAGTCGGGATGTGGTGGAAAACAGTAGCCTGGGGTTGTTCTTCGCCTCCAGGATTATCCTGGAGTAGAAGGACGACTTGGCCGAGGCTAGAGTGGAGCGGTAAATTTTGAGGAGGTCCAGCCAGATTTGTCGGTGGACCGTTAGGCCAGATTTGACACAGGTGCGTTCAGCAGCCCGCACCTGGCATTTCAGTGAGCGGAGGTGGGTGGTGTACCAGGGGGAGGAGCGGGAGTAGGAGACAGTGCGGGAAGTGATGGGGGCAAGAGTATCGAGTGTGGAGGAGAGGATATTGTGGAGGAGGGAGAGAGGAGAAGAGGGGTCGGTGAGGGTTGAAGGCCAGAGGGAGAGGAGTTCTGAGGACTCCAAGGCATCGGTTAGGGATTGTGGGGGTAACTTCTTCCAAACACATTCACTACCCTTTGCAATCAAATCCTGTACAGCGCAATATCAGATGCAAGATCTATTGTTACTTTCTTATATATATTGTTATATGCTAAGGAGACAGTTCATTCTGTTGTTGAGGCAGTCTTTGGTTTCCACTTCCCAGGTGAACTATCAGCAGTCCTGGCCTAAGCTAACCTATTGATTCTTTGAATCCCCACCTGGACATTTTATTTTCCATCCATAAATCTTCTTTGAAGCGCTTTGAAGTGCTAAATTATTAATGGTCTGGTCAGGAGATTGATCACTATATTACACTCACCAGAACCCAATAAAAGTTCTATGCCTTTGTGGATTTTATGAGTATCCTGTGAATGATTTAGTCCACATGTGTGAAATGACACTGGTCTTCTGAGAAATTACTTTGTGCAAATGGAAGCGAGATATAAAGACACGATTAGCTGATCACCACTGTTCAACAGCGTCTTGGGTTTATACGGAAATACACCATATCCCCCCCCCCCCGTTATAAGGCATTGTATCAAGGCACAAGTGTGAGCTGCCGAACACGCCTGGACCAAATCCAAACTAACGGTCCATCGGCAGATTTGGCTTCACCACACCAAGATCCACCTGCTCCCTCGATCCCATCCCCACCTATCTCCTCGTCTCCCAGCTCCACCTTCTGGCCCCTCTCCTGTCCGATGTCATCGACCTCTCCTTGTCCACTGGTTCAATTCCCACACCCCTAAAAATAGCCGTCATTACCCGCATCTTGAAAAAACCTTCCCAGGATCCATCCCTCCTCTCCAGCTACCGCCCCATCTCTAACCTCCCATTCCTCTCCAACAAGGTCCTGGAACGAGTCATCGTGTCCCAGCTCCACTCCTTTCTCTCTCACCAGTCGCTCTTTAAACTCTTCCAATCCGGCTTCCGCGCTTCACTAATGATATTCTGAACATCTATGATCAGGGCTCCCTCTGCCTCCTTGTCCTCCTCGACCTCTCTGCTGCCTTCAACACTGTCGACCACTCCATCCTCATACACCGCCTCTCTGCTTTACTCAATCTTCATGGATCTGCCCTTGCCTGGTTCGATTCCTATCTCTCTCACCTTCTCCACTTTGTTGCCTCTAACAGTTTCTCCTCCAGCCCCCACACTGTCACATCTGGAGTCCCCCAGGGCTCTGTCCTTGGCCCTCTCCTCTTTACTATCTACATGCTCCCCCTGGGACATGGGGTCAACTTCCACATGTATGCGGATGACACCCAACTGTCGGACATCAGGTCCTGGATGAGGGCAAATTTCCTACAGTTAAATGTTAACAAGACTGAGGCCCTCCTGAGTGGCTCGCCCCAGCGCCTCAGCACCTCAGGCTCTGGCAGCATCAACCTCCATGGTTGCTCACTACAACTCACCAGCCAGTCAGGAACCTGGGTGTCTTGTTCGACCCTCAACTGTCTTTTCTCCCCCACATTCCATCCATGACCCGTTCTCCCTTCCCTCACCTCCATAACATTGCCCGACTCCGCCACTACCTCACCCCTCAGGCCGCTGAAACTCTTGTTCATGCCTTCATCACCTCCAGGCTCGACTATGCAAACCCCCTGCTTGTCGGCCTTCCCAACTCCTCCCTCCACAGGCTACATATAATCCAGAACTCTGCAGCCCGTGTCCTCTCCCGCGCCAAACTCTGTGACCCCATCTCCCCCACTCTCGCCCGACTCCATTGGCTCCCTATCCTTCAGAGGTCCAGTTCAAGATCCTGGTTCTCACATACAAAGCCCTCCATGGCCTCGCCCCACCCTACCTCTGCAACCTCCTAACCCCCTATCAACCCTCCCACTCTCTCCGCTCAGCCGGCTCTGACCTGCTCCACATCCCCGACCCACCCGCCCCACCATTGGCGTGAGAGCCTTCAGCCATTCTGCCCCCAACCTCTGTAATTCCATCCCCCAGTCATGCCGCTTCGCCCCCTCCTTAGCCTCCATCAAGTCCCGCCTCAAGACCCTCCTCTTCGACCATGCCATTGGCTACCCCCTTTCCCTCCCCTCCCTCCCCTCCAACCGACCCCAGCTCGGGTCTGAAATGCTGTACTCTGTCCAGGGCCTTGGGATGTCCTCCCGACGAGAAAGGTGTTATGCAAATGTAATTTTGCTGTTGTTGTATCCACCAGGTATCTGACACACGCAGAAACCCATCACCGTGCTTAAAATATCGACAACGCCCCACTATTGGCCTTGCCTTCTGCCACTGCATCCTATCCTCTGGAACTTCATGTCTCAATCCATCCGTCTCCCCTCCCTCTCTACCTTTAAAACCCACCCTCGAGACCTATTGTCATATACTTGTATGCCTATGGTCACCTCCATTCTCCCTTGCCTGGCGTCCAACCCTACCAGTGTAAAAGCTCCAAGACAACATCCTGCATGAAGGGCACTGAATAACTGCAAGTTGTTGTTTAACACCAAGTTAGTGTCAACCAAATTCAGTCACCCATCCCATACACACACAGTAAGCCATAGGAGCATAGGATTTACTGTAACGACTCTGCACTTTGTGAGTGACTGCAGCAGTAAATGTGCTCACAGCAATGTCCCACAAACATTCATGAAGTGAATGAAGTTAATATTTGAAGGATTATTAGGCAGGATACCAGGACATACTCCCTTTTTTTTAGAAAATAGGTACATTGGTTCCACTAGCTGGTGGAAATATGAAACTGCACGAACAAGGCTTATCACTTTGCAACGGACACAACTTGTTAAAAAGTTCACACTGCAAAACAGCACATCTCCGAGAACAAAAAGAGGAAAGGTACATTTCTGAAGAACTTTTATTTGATGAAATGAGCTGCGACCTAGTAGAATGGGTATTGCTGCAAAGCATCCTGGACAGCATCAACATCTGAGCTCTAACAATGTCCGGGAATGGATTATGAGCTTTCTTTATCCAAAGTGGAATGGGAAGAGCAGTCTATGTCATCTACTTTGATACATTAAATATTACTTATGTCCTCATCCGCACCAAACTCCACACACTCAAGATCCTGATCCTCGCCAGGCTTCATTGTCTCCAAATGGATTAACTTCAAGGTCCTCACCCCCACCTATAAATCACTTCACACCCTTCTATCCCTCAGCTACACCCCTCTTTATGTAATCTTTAAATCCCACTTTAAAACTTACCTCTCCGACGACACCTATGTTCACTTCCCCTCCTCTTTCATTCTTGCTTGGAGTCCAACTCCGACACCGTGAAGCGTTCCGAGACGTCGTTGTTTCACACGAGTTGGGGAAAGTTGTCTGCCCTAATTTTTCCCAAGTAATTCAGAAAAAAAAACACAATTGAAAAGTCTGTGATTTTGTTTCAGAATTGTGACAATGAAAGCGCTCACACGCCACCAAATACACCAGCCGAGTCACAAAACAAATGTCAGGCCGCTATAAAGCTCTAAAAGTAGCTAAGGGCCAATTTCTCTCCTCCTTCTTCCTTACCTGGAGTCCGACACCACCACTGTGAAGCACTCCAAGACAGTTAAGCGATCCGGGACACTACTCCACATGAAGGGTGCAATATAAATGCAAGTTGTTGTTGTTATTGTCATCATTGCTGATGCTCATAAATGCACAGCACAGGAAGGAGGCCATTCAGCCCATCAAGTCCACCATGGCTCTCAATCCCAGGGCGGACTGGATGGTTCGAATGGCCGTACGTTCAATCTCATTGCCCTGCCCTATCCCCGTACGAACTTGAAGCGGCCAATAATAATAATAATCCTTGCATTTGATATAGCGCTTTTCACGTCGGGAGGACGTCCCAAAGCGCTTCACAGAACACACTGTAAAGTGAATTGACTGTATATTTGTGGGCGAACGCGGCAGCCAATTGCGCACAGCAATGTCCCACAAACAGTCGTGGATTGAAAATGACCAATTTATTATTGTTTTTTGGTTTTGGAGGGATTATTATTAGGCTCTGTGTGGAGTAAGGAAACTTGCCCAAGGTTTCGCCCTCTGCCGGGAATTGAACTCAGGTCTCTCACTTGCAAAGCGAGTGCTCTAACCACTGAGCTACAGGACTCCACGGCCAAGACATTTTTGCTAACTTTTCTTTAAATTGAAAAACTAAAGGAAGTTGTTTCTTGGACCCTTGCGTTTATAAACGGCAGTCAGTACTTGTAACTCATATAGTCCAAGCCGGCGCCGGCCAAACTACGGCACAGAAGCGGCCCGCGGCGCCGTGAAGAAACGCCCGCTCCCTGAGCATTCGCACGAGTGTCGGCAGGTCCGCCCTCGCGGTCCTAGATTTTTTGCCCGATGGAATATTTCCTGATTTATGGCACACGCTTGTCTTTTGAGCCGCGCCTCTCGTTTCTCTTCGAACCGTGGCCTTTGGTCTCCCCTCCCACCTCTCTGCCTTCCCTCACCCCTCACCCCACCCCTCCCCTCCCCCCCCCGCCGCGCTCGGGGCCCCGACAGCTGACTGTTCAGCGCTTTGGGGCGTCCTCCCGACGCGAAGGGCGCTCTGTTGGGCGTCATTTCGTTGTTGTTGTTGTTGTTGTGTTGTGCCGAAGCCGTCTTAAGGCACTATATCAAATGTAAGGATTATTATTAATATTATATAAATCAAGAAACCACCAATCAAGAAAACCCATCCGGCCGACAATACCCCCCCCCCCCAACCCCCACACCCCCACCCCACAGGCACACAGTCACTACACTTCCACACTATCATCCCGCCAAGCGCCCCGTGACGACGTCTCGGATAAATAAACTGAGGTAAAATCGAACAAAAATGCTGTTGGCATAAACGTCTGCCAAGAGGCGCTCTATCAAACGCGAGGATCATCATTATTATTATTATTATTAATTATTAATTATTATTATTATTGATTGCTATTAGTTATTATTCTCAAACGTAAGCAAGTACCGTTGTGACGGCGACCCCCCCCCCACCCGAGTCTCTCGTTGGGGCCTCGAACGAAAACCGCACGGGCAGCGCCTCGCCTCGCGCTCCGGGCGCGCCCCTCGGCCAATCGGATTCAAACCCCGCCGCACGTGCCGCGCCCAACGGCTGACTTGTGGAGGGCGGGAGGGTGGGGGTGTGGGGGGGGTGGGGGGAGGACGGGTCGGTTTGATCGACGCCGTCGGTTTCTGACCAATAAAGAAGCGGGGTACTGTGATTGACGTGGGCAGTGGCCAATGAGAGACGGAAACGTGCGGTCCACGGGAAGGCGGGATCTGAGATCGGCGTGACGATGATGGCAGCCAATGATGGACGGGACCGGTATGATTGACGCGAAGAGGCGGCCAATCAGAGGAGGTATTTGTGCGCGATCGACGTGAGGAGGCAGCAGCCAATGAGAGGCGGGCTAGTGCGACGAACGCTAGGGGGCGGGATAGTGTGATTGACGTGATCAGTGACCAATGGGAGGCGGAATACTGTGATTGACGCAAGGTGGCGGCCAATGAGAGGCGGGAGGGTGGGAGCCGCCAGCGAGGCGGGTTGTGAGTGTTGAGTTGAGTTGAGGAGCAGCGGGAATAGGCCCAGAGAGCGCCTCACACACACACACACAGATAGAGACCGACACATACAGAGACACACAGACAGATAGAGACAGACACACACACACAGGTAGAGACCGACACACACAGAGACACACAGACAGATAGAGACAAGACACACACAGACACACAGAGAGAGACACAGACACACAGAGAGAGACACAGACACACAGAGAGAGACACACACAGACACACAGAGAGACACACACACACAGAGACACAGACACACACACAGAGACACAGACACACACACAGAGACACAGACACACACACAGAGACACAGACACACACAGAGACACAGACACACAGACACACACACACAGACAGGCCTCTCGCCAGCGCCGGGCCCCTGCGCTCACTGTCTGCGACAAGATGTCGGAACGGAAGGTTTTGAATGTGAGTGTCTCGCCTTCCGTCTCCGGACCCAGCGGTCCCCGCACATGGGATATGTCATAATAATATTCCGCTACAATAATCCTTATATTTCACGTTGTTTCGTCCACAAAATACGCAGTCAATTCACTTTACAGCGGATCCTGTGAAGCGCTTTGAGACGTCTCGAAGACCTGATAAGGAGCTGTATCAAATGCGAGGATTATTATTATTATTATTGTTTAGTATGCCAGCCTGCCGCAGTGCTAGTACTCTCACCTCTCGGTCAGAAGGTTGTGGGTGCAAACCCCCCCCCCACGTCGGGACTTGGAATCACATAGTCTAAGCTGATGCTCCAGTGCAGTGTTGGGGGGGTGTTGTATTGTCGGAGGTGCCATCCTTCGGATGAGACTTTAAATGGAGGTCCCGTCTTCCTGTTCAGGTGAACGTTAAAGATCCCACAGCACTGTTCGAAAAGAGAAGGGAGTTTCTCTCTCCCAGTGTCCTGGCCAACAATCCCCCAAATAAAATTGGTCACTCGCTCCATGGCTATTTGTACACAACTGGCTGCTGTGTTTCGTCCACAAAATACATAGTCACTACACTTTGGGATATGTCCGATGAAGCGCTTTTGAGATGTCTCAACAACATGATGAAACACTATATCAAATTCAAGGATAATTACTGTTGACCCAATGCCTTTCACTTCGGGAGAACATTCCTGATTACCTGATCTTAGGCGGAGGCTGTCAAGAGCTGAGGTTTAGGGGCCCCAGAGCACTCTTCATTGTCTCTCCATCTACCCCAGTCCCTCCATCCATCTACCCCATCCCCCAAACTAGATCTGAGCGGTTGAAATTGGCTAAAGTTGACCATTTCTTGTGTTTTTTTGTGTAACAGAAATACTACCCCCCAGACTTTGATCCGTCAAAGATCCCAAAACTCAAACTTCCGAAAGATCGTCAGTATGTGGTGCGACTGATGGCTCCTTTCAACATGAGGTAGGTTGGGTCAAACCTTCTGCGCATTTCGGGTGCTTTTCAGGGAAAATAACAGATCGACCAGACATGTTTGCCGGGTAACTTACTTGTTGGGGTGTTGTAATCTTCCAGGTGTAAGACATGTGGAGAGTACATTTACAAAGGGAAGAAATTCAATGCACGGAAGGAGACGGTGCAGAACGAGACCTACTTGGGACTCCCCATCTTCCGTTTCTACATCAAGTGCACACGGTGTCTGGCAGAAATTACATTCAAAGTAGGTCTCGATCACTTGTGATATAATCCAATGCTTGGCATAGCGCCTATAATATCGTGAAAGAGGTAGTAGCTCAAAACTAAAGTAATTGTGTATTTATGCGTGAACCCAGCAGCCAATTTGCACGCAGCAAGGTCCCACAAATGGCAATGACGTTTTTTGCGGTCAGCCGGGTGTCTGACATAAATGGAAAGCCACCACTGTGCGAAAGAGTATGCAAAGCAAGTTGAGCGTCCCCAGATATGTCTGCCACCTACAAATGGAAATTCCCGTGTTTGGGATGGAATGCGCACTCTGTCCCAGGAGGGAAATATCCCAGTTACCTAATTCCACTGAAGTGAACGACCAATTGATGATCGGTGAGCAGGATCCCGGGAGAAACTCCCCATTTTTTTAATAGTGCAGTGGATCTTTTAATGTCCACCTGAATAAGCAGGCAGGACCTCGATTTAACAGTTTGTCCAAAGCACGTGGCACCTCTGACAATATATCGCTGTTTCCCCATTAATGCATTAAACGTTGCCCTTTACTGTGAGCCCTCATCCCTACACGGGGCTTTTGGTTGCTTTACCAACTTGTTTCTCCCACTTTTCGCTCCTCCCTACTTCAGGCACCTGTGATTGTGTGTTAGTGTAATATTCAGTGGGCACCACTCATGCTGTGTTATCTTGCCCAGACACAGCAGAGCTCCACCATGCCTTCACTGAAAGACTTTTCAGCAGAATAGCAAGCGGAAGCCAGAACCTTGACTGATATTCTCTCCTCCTGTCGTTGAGGCTAATTATAGCCCCCGACTGACATCAACTAACACAGACTGGAGTTTTAAAAAATCCTTACATTTGATACAATGCCTTTCACGTGGGGAGGGTGTCTCAGACGCTTCAAAAGATACACCGTAGTGTAGTGACTGTGGGCAAAAGAGCCAGCCAGTTTGTGCATAGCAATGTCCCTTAAACAGCCATGAAGTAAAGTAAACTTAGTTTGCGGGATTGTCGCCCAGGACACAGAGAAACTCCCTTCTCTTTTCCTTTAGTGCCAACCAATCTTTAATGTCCACCTGAACAGGCACCAACTGACAGGCTCTCAGTTTAAAGTCTCATCTGAAGGACGGCACCTCTGACCATGCAGCGCTCTGCATTGGAGTGTCAGTCTAAACGATATTAGTTCAAAGTCCTGATGCGGGGCTTGACCTACAACCTTCTGACTCAGGGGCATGAGTGTTACCAGCTGAGCCAGACTGACACAACATTAAGTCAAACTTACAACTCTGGTTTGAGTGGCATAGTACAGCACGGAGAGTGTCTTTACCCACTAGACCATCGGGGCAGGTGTGATTTTTTTCTTCTCTAAAAGAAAGTGTGAGAGATTTTGTTCGGTCATGAATTGCTCTCAGTACGTTGATTCCCTGTACCTCGTTTGATTCGCTGTTGTTCTGTAACCCTTAGACCGATCCAGAGAACACGGATTACTTCATGGAGCACGGAGCAACGCGCAACTTTCAGGCGGAAGCGCTGCTCGAACAAGAGGAAAAACGTCTACAGAAGGAACGGGAGGATGAGGAGCTGAACAACCCGATGAAGGTGGGTGGAATTGCATTACTATAGAGCCCTTCACGAGGGTGGCGTCTCAGGGCGCTTTGTTCAGTGAAACCTCAGTTTAACATCTCTTCCCAAGGTTAGCGCCTCTGACAATGCAGTTCAAAATCCCGATGCGGTGCTTGAACTCACAACCTTCTGACTCAAGAGGCGAGAAGTCCTACCAACTGAGCCAGGCTGACGTTCAGTTTCCAATCTGTTTGCTCCTTAAGGTGCTGGAGAACAGGACAAAAGATTCCAAGCTGGAGATGGAGGTTCTGGAGAACCTGCAGGAGCTGAAGGAGTTAAACCAGCGTCAGGCCAACGTGGACTTTGAGGGCATGTTACAGAAGTATCAGAAATTTGAGGAGGAACAGAAACAGCGGCAACAGGAGGAGGACGAGCAAGAGACAAAGTACGTTCAAATCTCAGACTGAAAGAGCCTTCTCCATACCCTGCCTGTTTTGATTCAAGACCCATCACTGTGTCAGTCTGACACTAGCCTGCATTGAGCAGGGTCCCTGTGTGCTTTCTGTCCATCGGGTTTCGCCCACAAAACATACGTCACTACACTTTACAGTATATTCTTTGAAGCGCTTTGGAACGTCTAGAAGACGTGACAAGGCGCTATTATCAAATGCAAAGAATATTATTATGAATTGTTTTTTCCTTCCCCCATCCCAGCATTTCTCCTTCTGATTTCTCTTCTCCTTACTTTTATATTTTTTTAGCCCCATTTCTGCTGTGGTCTGCTCCACAGACAAATGGCCGTGGTTGACACGGGAGCCTTGACTGTGAGAGGCAGAAGCGCATTCAACCACCCACTAGGACTTCACATCCCGGTTTCAGTCCTCGTGTAACATCACACAGCTGGCCAACAATTCTCCAGATAAATTAATCATTCGCCGGATGGCTCTTTGGGAGACCTTGCTGTGTGCAAAATTTGCCTTTCAATTCACTCACTACACTTGGTAGCAATTGCTCCCGGAGGCTGTGGTTGAACCAGAAAGCATCAGTGCCTTTAAGAGTAGGATTGATGCTTTAAGAGGAAGCTGGACCTTTAAGTGAGGGAAAGGGGAATAGAAGCTATAAGAGGAAACCTGATATACATGTGGGAGAAGGGGTTATAAAGGGTACGGGTGAGGGGAAGTGGAGGCTTATGGGGAGTATTAACACCAGCACAGGCTAGTTGGTGGTCAAATGGTCTGTATTCCATGCTTTACAATCCACCTTATTCTGCGTAAAGTGCTTCAAGATGATTGGAGGCAATGAGGCACTAAAGGAACGTAAATCCTTTCTGTCCTGAAAGGTCCATGTTGGAAATTGCACAGCAAAAGAGAATTCTGGATGACTCAGACTCAGACGAGGAGGTGCCCAAACCAGTTCACAACCAGAAGGTGCGATCCACGCTCAAGCCCACAGATATCCTCAGTGAAGTAAGTCTCATTTCCTCGCATGCTTTAGTTACGTTAACTAACGAGTGATGAACAAACTTTGTAGCACCTCTCTCACACACTTCTTGTCACAGTATAAATTAAGGTATTATCTGCTTAGTTGCTCTCATCCCCCTCTTGACTCATTCTTTCCTATAACCATGAGATTGCAATACAATACAAAATAGCGCCTTTCACGTTGGGTGGATGTCCCAAGGCGCTAGACAGTCAGGGATTTGAACCTGAGCAGGGGGGCTGGAATCAGAGGAGGATGGAGCGCAGGGAAGTTGGCTAAAGGCATGGTGAGACGTGCCTTGAAGGAGGCAAAGGAGGGAATGTGGGCTGGGGCTAAAGACCTGGCCGATGGTGGGGTGGGCCGGATGGGGATATGGAGCAGGTTGGAGGCTATTGAGTGGAGATTTGTAGAACCCTTTACCGAAGGACTCCTCACCTGCCTCCCTCACTCTCCTATTCCTCCTACCCTCTGTAGGGTTCCTCTCCTTAGCAAGCAAGGGATGGGGCAGGTGAGTGAAAGCACTTGTCAAAGCGGTATTGTTTTTAAGAAGCAGTTTGAAAATGGTGAGAGAGTGTGTGGGATAAATAATAATAATCCTTGTATTTGATACAGTTCCTTATCAAGTCATTGAGACGTCTCAAAGCACTTTGCATTATATACTGTAAAGTAGTGACTATATTTTGTGGGTGAATTGTGACAGCCAGTTGCGCACAGCAATAAAGTAATAAAACAGGCCATTTTAATTTTATTGTATAAACTGAGTTATTGTCTGCTTATTGGTGGATAAATTTATTAATACATTTATTTATTCATTTTATTTAGCAATAAAATAATAAAAGCAATAATAAACAATCAATCCACTTTACAATATATTCTGTGAAGTGCTTTGAGACGTCTCAAGGAAGTGATAAGGCACTAGATCAAATGCAAGGATTATTATTAAAAGGGCTTTTAGGGCAGTAAAGTTCTACTGAGTGGGGAGATGGTGACTGAAAATTTGGTTACCGAGGGTGGGTGGGAGTGCAGCAATACTGGCCTGTGCAGAATTAGCTGTCGTCTTTCATCTTTTGTGTGTGACCTCACAGCAGAAACCGGATCATCAGAATAAGAAACTGAAGCCGGAGAGCTGGGAAAGGAGCGTGGGAACGCTGAGCGGAAAAACCCGTCTCTCTGGGCTGGTGGTGAAGAAACCATCAGGGATGAAAGTGAATCCAGGAAAAGAAACCGGGAAACAAGAAGGCTGTGCAACGAGCAATGGTAAGTGTCGTCTTGAAGTTCAGCCGAGTCTAAATTATTGTTTTCAAAATAATACACAGCGCGTGTTAATAAAAGGGAATTTACCCACTGCAACTCCGCGCTCTATTCGAGCCAACTTGCCTGTGCTGCTGTTAATAGTCCCCACGAGCCTCCACATCCCCTCACTCATCCGTACTCCTCTATCCCCTTCTCCCACATATAAACTAGGTTTCCTCTTAAGTGCATTGATGCTTCCTGCTTCAATCGGCTTAGTAAACTAATAAATAAAATCCTTGCTTTCGATTCAGTGCCTCATCAGGTCACAGCCAAGCCCTTCCAGCAATGAATTACTTTGTCGTGTAGTGACTGTTACGGATCAACTAATCTGTACTGGTAATGAGATCAGTGACCAATTGATCTGAGATGTGGGGAAGTAGAGTTGATGAATTTGGATGTGGTACAGATATTAGAGGGGCAACTCCTTACTCTTATTCTGAAAAGTTGTTTTTTTAGGCGTCTGAACATTCGCACAGGTCTAGGCAAGTCCGTGTTTCATCGGTAGTGTATTTTCAGTTTTTTTATCTTGATTTGAATATTTCTTGATTGATGGCATAAATCACGGTTGGTTTAAATGAATAAATAATAATAATTTGATCACTCAATCCACGACTGTTTATGGGGCCCTGCTGTGCGCAGTTGGCTGCCTTGTTTCGCCCACAAAATACACAGTCCATTCACTTTGCTGTTGTCCTGCAGAGCGCTTTGAGACGTCTCGAAGACGTGATAATGCGCTATATCAAATGCAAGGATTATTATTGTATAGCTGCCGATTTGCAGTTTACCAACTGGGCCACAAGGAGGCCCTCTGCACCACAGACAGAACAAGCAGCAGCTTTTTTGGCTCAAAAGGTGACATGAATCGCAAACTGCTTGGCTATACAAGGAAGGAGACTGCGCAAGGGGAAACCGTGACGAATCCAAGACCGAAATTATGTCAAAAATGGTGACGGATCTATTGTTCTTTTGTCACATTCCTGTTTCAGGTGCTGGAGATCGGAATTCAGCTCCGGGTCCTCCAGAAAGGCACTCGTCAGCAAGCGGCAGTTCCTCGCTCAGTCTCCTGGGGGCCTACTCTGACAGTGAGGAGAGCAGCGAGTGACAGCCGCTCACTTTCCCAGCAGGGCTGCTCTGGTACTTTTGAGAAAGTCTTCACCGTTATGAGAACTTGCCTTATGTGTGTTAAGCGTCCTTGAGACGCCAACCGGCGTGAAGGGCGCTATGTAAATGCAAGTTGTTGTTGTGTGTTTTCCCTGTGGGTGAGTGCGTGGGTGTGTGTATGAATGCATGCATGTATGTATGTATGTGTGTGCGTGCGCATTGGTGTGTGTGTGCATAAGAATATGAGTACATACGAGTGTGTGCATAAGAACATGAGTGCATATGTGTGTGTGTGTGTGTGTGTGTGTGTGTGTGTGTGGTGGGGGGTTGAATTACCATCCTGAAAAAAAAGAGCTTTGTGTCAATTTCCAGAATAGAAATGCATCGAAATTCTTCCCTCTCTTGTTTGGCCTCGGGATAATTTATTTTCTTCGCTTTATAAATTCTTCTTTTGATGGGATTTTCTACTCTTGACTTTTTTTAAAATTCTGATCTAAAATTCTGTTTTATCTCAAATACTGTATAATAAAACCGATGAGCTCCCCTCTAATCTCTTTACTAACAGGTAATGAGTTTAGTGTATTTACATCTGATCAGTGTTGTGCAGTGGACGGTGGGGGGGGAACGGGGATTATACAGTAAAATTTATGTAAGTCGTATCAGTCGTGACCATAACATTTAATATGATTTACACAAGGTCGTACAGACAAACTAAACTACAGTTCGTGTAAAATCCGATTTAATCAATATGCGACACTACATATGCAGAATTCAATGCAGCCAGTAAGTGCGAATGAGAAAGTTTGATTCAATGCGATTCCAACGCTTACCGCTAAGTGGACATGCGGTGACGGGTCAAGACTACTGCGATCCACACATGTCGATCAGTCGTGGAATGCGCACTCACCACCAAGTGTTGGAATCACATGGAATCGCGGGAAATGACGTTTTTCTCCGCATGCGTCGACAGGTCAAAACTACGTTTCCCGCGATTCAATGCAGCCAACCAGTAAGTGGCCATGTTTCAACGGGTCAGGACATCATTGCCCGTGATTCAATGCAGCCAGTAAGTGGGAATAATGGACGATAGGGTGAGGGAGCAGCATTACAATCCAACTTCCAGTCACTGTTTACCAACAGCCAGTCAGGAACATAATTAGCGATTTCATAGCAGTGTCTTAATCTCGGGCTTCAGGTGAGTTATCATAAATGATTTTGCCTCTTGTATTTATAGTTCACCATGTTACCTTGCGTCAGCCTGACTCAGTTGGTGGCACCCACACCTCTGAGTCAGAAGATTGGTTCAAGCCCCACGTCAGCAATTGGACCCCATATAGTTTTTGCTGACTCTGATGCAGTGCTGGTGGGGGTGGGGGGGTGTGGTGTTGCATTGTTGAAGGTGCCAAACTTCAGAAGAGACGTTAAACCGAGGTGGACAAATGTTAAAGATCCCATGATACAATTTGCAAAGAGAAGGGATTTTTTCCCAGTGTTTTGGCCAACAATCTGCCCAGATAAAATTGGTCATTCACTTCATTGCTGTATATGCGGCAGCCAATGTAAATATCATTTTACGTTATATCCTATGAAGCTTTCAGACATTTTGATACGGTGCTGTGTCAATCGAACGAGTTAACGTAGCTCAATATCTGGTGATGTTAATCAGTTTGTCTCCCCTATCATATTTATCCAGTCAATGGCTGGGCTATGCAGGCCAATCCTCGCCCAGTCTGTTCTGTTAGCAGATCTAAGTGGGAACTCGGTTGTTAGTCGATTGGCGGATCACTTTTCCGGGGATGATAATCCCTTAAAAATACATATATTAATTTGGTCACTTCAATCCACAGCTGTTTGTGGGTCCCTGTGCACAATTGGCTACCATATTTTGCCCACAAAATACACAGTCAATTCAGGTTACAGTGTATTCTGTGAAGAGCTTTGAGACATCTTGACGTGATCAGGCGCTGTATCAAATACAAGGATCGTTATTAAAGGACTAGTATTATCGGAGCTTAACCTGTAACATCCTCCCGACATGAAAGCTGCTGTATAAATGCAATTTGTTGGTGGTGATGTCTTAGGCTTTAATGCCAGCAAATGTGGGCCATGCCCACCTGAGGTACGGTTATGCAGGGCAGAGTGGGCACCCCTTCCCTTAATAAATCCCAGTTATTTTTAATATGAATTTATTGTCCGATTACATTTCACTGCTTCTGGTCCCCAGCCTCCCATTGACCTCTGGTCAATGCAGTCGTTTTCACTGATTGGCTCTCTTAGACCATTTCCACTGATTTCCACACGAATAATAATGACACGAAATGCATTTGATATTTGTTTTTGATGTAAAAAGGAAAGCCCGATCTCTGGCCTCTGTTGAGTTAGTTGATCTGAGCATTATACACAGCAAATATAAGCAGCTCGGTTAAGATGCTGGCTCTTGCCACTCCAGAATCCCCCAACCTCCAGCAGAGTGGAACGGACACAGGATCAATTGTTCGCAGCAGAGTTGCGGGTGGGGGGTGGGGGCTGAAATCGCTGCGTTCAAATATTACTCTCCTGCCTGCTTTACTGATTGTGACAGGGTCGTTGAACACGCTGACATTCACACCGCATCTGACATCCTAGCCCATTACTCCTGCGCTTGTCCTCGACTCCCGTTTTCGATGCTGAATATGCACCGCACGTCTATTTGCAGGTGGCACAGATTTGGATTATAACATTATTAATTCGAGGTTTGTTTCTTTTCCATTCTATTAAATTAGACGTCGCCCAAACCCCGACTCCTTCGCTCCCCGTTCCATGCTGTACATCATTACTTTTTTTTATATTTGAAAATCCTATTACGTGCATGACTGGGACATCATTTCCTCGGAAAGTGGAACTAAATTGGGAAAATAGAATGGAGAATGTCAGTAAGGCATCGGGCTGCCCTCCGTTAGAGAATTAAATGATTTATTTTTCAATTTGCAGACTGACAACCCAATTTCAAACAGGGTCGAGAGTGTAAACAGCCCATCAGGAGGGCTCTTGACCACTTGATTGAAGTCACAGACAGGCCGTGTCAACAGGTCAGTCCCGGTAGAAGTAGAGCCCGCGCCTCGCAAGCCGGAGGACCCAGGTTCAATTCCCTGGCAGGGCAAAGCCTTAGGCAAGTTTCTCCTCACGCCTCTGTTTACCACTGAGATATCGAGAGAACATTCACCCACAAAACACACAGTCACTCCACTTTACAGTAAATCTTGTGACGTGCTTCATAATATTAATAAAATAATAAGAACCCTTGTCGTCGAGATATCTCAAAGCGCTTCACAGGATATACTTTAAAGTGGAGTGACTGTGTATTTTGTGGACTTTGAGATGACCTCCTGACATGAAAGGCACTAGCAAGTTATTATTTTATTAACAACGTTCACCTATAAAAACAGTCACTGCACCTCACACTAAAAACCTGTGAAGTGCTTTGAGACGTTTTGACGATGTGCTGAGGCGCTGTATAAAAACATGACAATTATTATGAGGATTATTTATCATAACTAACATGCTGCTCCGACTTTCCTGGGCAATGTGTATTGGAGCCACAGTCATAGCTATACAGAGGCAGGTTTATGTAGAATAACAAATCTCTAGCAATGTCACTACACTGCTTCGATTCACTGAACCACGTAGGATAACAAAGCCAGCAGGAGAGGGGAGTCAGGGCTGTGCTGAATAATAAGAGAGGACGTCTCAATGTGCTTCGCTAAAAAGGATACACATGTAGTGACTGTGTATTTGTGGGAGAACACGGCAACCAATTTGCACGCAGCAATGTCTGGCAAACAACCATTAAATGATTTACCACTTTATTTGTGGGATTGTTGGCCAGGACAGTGGGAAAAACTACTTTCTCTTTTCCAGACCTTCAACGTCCACCTGAACAGGCAGACGGGATCTCAGTTTAACGTCTTATCTGAGGGCTGGCACCTCCGACATTGCAACACATCCCAGCAACACACTGAAATGTCAGCTTAGATTTATGTGAGTTCAAATTCCATCGTGGAGGGGCTGGACCCCACTACCATCTGACTCAGAGGCGAGAGTGCTACTAACTGAGCCAGGTGCCGTCCTTCAGATGAGACATTTGAACCGTCTGCCTATTCAGGTGGATGTTGAAGATCCCACGGCTCTATTTGAACAGAGAAGGGAGTTTCGCTCTCCCAGTGTCCTGGCCAACAATCCCCCAAATAAAAATTGATCGTTCACTTCACATCTGAGGAACGTCACTTTGTGTAAATTGGCTGCTGCATTCACCTAGGAATACACAGTCCTTTACACGTTACGGTAAATCCTGTGAAGAGCTATGAGATATCCGACGCTGTACCAAATGCGAGGATTTATTATGTTAAATAGCCCAGTAGGTGGTGCTCCAACCCTGGTCCTCCGCTTTCCACAACACAGCAGATACATTTCATACGGCTCCTAGAATTCTGTCATATCTTAAGAAAGTTTCTTTCTCGGGAAACTACTAACATGTGTCTCAATAGTTCTTATTGAGACAAATCCAGCAGCCAATTTGGGCACAGAACAGCCATGGGGTGAATGACCAATTAGTCTGGAGGCTTTTTGAATACCAAGAGAAATTACCAATAATTTGGTCACTCCAATCCACGACTGTTTGTGAGACGTTGCTGTGCACAATTGGCTGCCGCGTTTCACTCACAGAATATACAGTCAATTTATTTTACAGTATATTCTGTGAAGGTCTATGAGATGTCTGGAAGACGTGGTAAGGTGCTATATCAAGTGCAAGGATTATTATTATGGGATCAAGTGCAAGGTTTATTATTATTATGGGATCTTTAACATCCATCTGATCAGGGAGACAGGACCTAGGTTTAACGTCCCATCCAAAGGATGGCACATCTAACATTGCAGAATTCCACCTGTTTTGGAATGTCAGCCTAGACTTTGAGCTTCTGATGTGGGGGGCGGGGGGGGGGGGGGGATTTGAATCCACAACCTTCTGTCCCACAAGTTTTTTGCGCTGCTTGTCTACCTGTTAGGGCTCTGTCTTGCAGAGTTAACAACAACTTGCATTTAGAAAGCGCCCTTCAAGCCGGATGGCATCTTGGAGCACTTAACAGTGGCAGAGCCCGATGCCGAATGGAAAGAACCC